TCTTTATTTTAGCTTAGTCTTTTTTTTTTTGGTCCTATTTTATTTTATCTTAGTCTATTATGTCTTATTTTATTTTGTCTTCTTTTATTTCATCTTATTTTATTTCCTCTTATTTTATTTTGCCTTATTTTATTTTTATTTTATCTTAATTTATTATGTCATTTTATTTCATCTTATTTTATCCTTTTTATTTTCATTTTTTAGTTTACTTCCCTTTAATTAATTATCTAAATTTTATTTCATTTTTTATTTTAATTTCCTTCTTTATTTTTATTTTAGGCATTGATTATTTTATTTTATTATTTTAACTTGTATTTTATTGCACTTTTAAACTTTTATTTCAGTCTATTTTCTTTTTATTTCAATTTTTATTTTATTATTTTTTATTTTATCTGTTTAAAATCTTATTTTTTATTTGATTTGATTTTATTATTTTATTAAATTTTTAAATTTTTTACTTATTTATCCTACAATTTTATTTTATTTTACTTCAAAAAAATCTTATTAATTTTTTTAATTTACTTTTCAACATTATTTTATTATTTTATTCTATTTTTGGTTTTTAAGGGGCAGATGGGAGCAAGGACAGCAGCCCTGGGCTCCCTCCCCTCTTCCCCTCTCTCTCCCTGCCTTGGCCACCACAGGGGGAAGAGCTGAGGCTGAGCAAACTCATTGCACCCATGGGCAGGGGCTCTCTGGAGGGTGTCACACTGGGTCTGGGGGCTCCCTGTGCTGGGCTTGGCACAGCGTGGGCAGGTGACAGCCCTGCTGGGAGGGCCCCAAATGCTCCTGCTCTGCCACCAGCCGAGCAGCACCTCCTTGCCCATGGGTGCCACGGCATGGGGCACACGGGAATGGAGCCACCATTGGTACCCATGCTCCCCACTGTGGAGCCGCAGCACCCATCCCCTTCGGTGGAGCACCCTCCATGCACAGTCAGGGACATGGCAGCCGGTTGCACCCCATCTACACCCAACTCCTGCCCGCACAGAGCCAGGCATCTCCCCATGGCTCCTACTGCACCGGCACCAACAACCATAGCTCCAAACAGCTGCCGGGGCACGAAGCGCACCATTCCGCTGAGATTTGGCGTGATTCAGTGAGATTTACTGAGATTTGGCCAGATTTGCTTAAATTTTGAGGGAAGATCTGCTGAGGGTTGGGTGGAGGACGGATCCAGGTGGGATACTGGGACCCCCACAATCCACTGTGGTCCGGAATCCCCCATGCAGCCCCAGGGCCAGACACCAGCGTTACCACGTCCGTCCGGCTCTCGTGGCATCTCCCATTCAGCAAGACCAGCCAAGGTGTTGGGGCAAGGCGCTCGCCACCGCAGGGACCGGGGGAACGCGCCAGACCTGTTCTGCCAACCTCTCCCGCCCTCCGCAAACCCCAAATCCCAGCCGGGGGACGCTCAACGCGTGCGGGCAGCTGCCACCGAAGCAGGGAGCTGCCCCTGATTGCCGAGCTGCCCTTGGCGCAGTGCTGCGTCCTCCCCATCATCTCTGGGGGTTTGGGAGGTCAGAGAGGAGCTGTGGGTGGCTCAGCGGCACTGAAATTGGGGTCACCCACATTTGGCTTTGTTCTCATTTTCCAGAGCTCAATTTTGCAGTTGAAATCTCTCTGCACTTCATTAAATATTTCAGCAGCTCATTAAATATTTTGCAGTTAATTCCCTAGTCCTGGTTTTTAAGGGAAGGCATTGCAGCCCCCTGTGGGGACAGGGACAGCCACCCCAACACTGTCCCAGAGGTGTGCCCAGGAGAGAAGATGTCCCTGGGATCATGTGTGAGGACCAGGGCTTTCATCCAGAGCTGTTGCATGCCGTGGATGGGCTCTGCTATGGGGCGGGGGGGTCTTTGGGGACCCCAAGGTCTGGATCCCCCTGTGAGCACCTTGCAGCCATGTTGGGGTACAACCTGAGTGCTGTCAGAGCACCCACATTCATGCTGGCAACACCTTCTTGATGGCAGCTGGAAAAGGGCGCAAGGACCTTTCCTGGTGGGAAACACCAGGGTTGGGATCCCAGCTGGGGATGCAGAATAGGAGTGGACACCATCACAAAGGAGACCCAGCGTGGGCCGAGCCTGGTGGGAGATGGGTGCTAGGACAGGTCCCAGACTGCCAGCTGGGCCAGGCGGGGCCAGACTTTGACCTCAGAGGTTCCACCAGGTCCCTCCTGACTTGGTGTGGCAGAGACAGGGCTGGGCAGGATGGGGCTGAAATGCAGGACAGTTGTGGCTCTCCATCCCCAGGAGAAGCAGGGGCGAGGCCAACGGTACCATGTCCTGGCCGTGGGGAGGGCTGCGATGGTGGGATGAAGGCTGTGAAAGCAGGACATGAAACACATGGGCCCAAAGGGCTTACAGCCCCCTTTGCATGGGGAGGTGTTTCACAAGGGATTTGGGGTTGCACTGATCCCTGTGGCCACAGTAGAGACCTGCAAAGAGGGAGCCCAGTCCTGGTTTCTTTGGCCGCTGGAGGTCTTTGGTGCAGGTCAAACATGGGAGTCCTTGCACCAGTGCTGCGAGGAAGACGAGGTGTGGGAGCATCCTGCTCACTGCCCATCTCAGCCCCAGAGACCAAGGTGCCACTGGAGATGCTAGACCAGCTGGAGTGCCCTTGGTCCCTTGGTTGGGAGATTCCATGGCTCTTACCTGCTCTTCTCTTGGGCCCTGCATGACCCATCCTAGCCAACTGCACCTTGGGGTGATGGTTGCTGAGCTGTGTGACCACCAAGAGCTTCCTGACCCCCCAGAACCTGCCTGGGACCTGGCCAAGCCCTTTGGGATGTGAGGACACCCCGCTTCACTTGGGGAGCTCTGCCAAGAAACACGTGCATCACAACTCAGGTATTACTGACGTTCCTTCATCACTTCCAGCTCCTCTCTTCGTTTAACCACCCTTGCATCTGTTGCTCATCCTCTCGTGTCTTCTCTCCTTTTGCCACTCTTCTGGTTTTGATTTGTGATACGTGAAGGCTTTCATCTGACCATTCAAGTTAGGCGGTGGCTGTTCACTCCCTGCTACAACAGTCCTTAAAAAAACATTCTAGAAACAATGTGTTCAAATAATCATCTTCCACATGTGCCCAGGGCTAATTTATTTTTTTTTTTTTACATTAAGGTTGACTTCAGCCTTAGGTTTGTTTCCTTAATTAATTTCAATTTGCCGAAAACCACTCAAGCAAGACATTGTACTCTTCTGGTTTTTTTCCCCTGAAGCTGCAGGTCCACCAAAAAATAATATTTCTTGATATTAGAGCTTCCCAGGCACTAGTTCCTCATCCAGATAAGCATTCCTAGACCTAGATTGTGCAGCCCAGAATAAACCCAGATTTATCATGATAACTTGGCACTGAAGGATTAAGCTCCAGAAGCTTGAGGGTAATTGGACAGCTGACCCCTCCTCACCGACCTCCACAAAGCTGGACCTAGGGGTACCTGAGACAGGGAGGGAAGCGTTTCTCAAGGTCCCACAAGGGCATCACTCTTCATTTTCACCTTGATGGAGGATTGCTGATGATTTGAGGACCTGCTCTGAAGTTGTGTGGCTGAAGCAGAGGTCAACCCAAGAGTCTTCCTTGATGGAAGGATCAAGATCTTAATTCCCTTGCCTCTGAGATGCTGAGATTGGATTTCTATTTCCAGTGCTGCTGAATTTCTTGGTGGCTGTAATGAGTTCCAGGGAAGACCCCGCTCTTCATTTAGTCCATTGCTTTTTCAAGCACATGTTTTAATGTGTTAAGCCATGGGAAGCAGTGGACAGAGAAGAAACGTGTTCCTTCTGTCAGTAAATCATCTGCTTCTGTAGGTAAATCAGGTTTTGCAGTATAAAATACAGGATGATAGAGAGAAAGCTCAAGTCTGGAGTCCTGGGACATGGATTTGCAGGGCTGTGAGGAGTTTGGAAAACACATGAAGATAAACATAGTTCCCAACCAGAAATATTTTGGTAGTGTCACATGGTAAATAGCTCATTAAGGGATTGATTATACGTAACTTGGTGTTTGCTTACCATCTGCAGCTTGAAGGCATTCAGCTTGTTTCCCAAGGGATGCACGTGGGTTGGGAGTCTGTGTAACAAGGAAAACATGGAATAGATAACGGGTAAAAATTGGGATATGATGTGTGTGGACACAGAGAGAAGAGCAGTGGAGGAGAAAGGGGTTCCTCAGCCTTCCTCTGTTCCTCTGGAAAGGGAAAACAAATGCTGAGGATAGAACATGGAATATTTTTTGTTTGTTTATTTGTTTCTAAGGAGCTTCTACTCCAACTCAGAGCAGTGAATCTACTTCTCCCATGGAAAACATGGGAGGAATGGAAAGCAGGTGAGCTCTGTCAGGAGATGTCTCACCTGGCCACTAAAATTACATAGACAAACCCTGGCAGGAATGACCTACAGCATGCCAAGCAATGAAAACATCAAGGTGGCCCCCAAAAGGGGGAGGTCCATGCACCACCTTCCAATTTGAATTCCTTCTTAAGTTGCATCTCCTGTTTCCAACAAGGGAAGAGACGACCAAGTCCTGGGCAGAGCATGTTACAACTCCAACACACAGCAGTAGTCTCCTACTTCCCGTGGTCAGATGTACCCAGAAGCAGCCACCAGCCATGGACGTTATTAACAGGAACAGGCTTTGCCACAAAAATTCAAGCCAGGCCTGGGTGCTGATAAAGCCTCGTCAGCTGGAGAGTCAATGCCACTAACAGGACAGGAAGGCGACAGCATCCCACCCCATTAACCCGAGAGAAGAGCAGATAAAAGCCATGAAGTTCCCCATCCAAGGCACCACAGGTGCTCCAGCTGGTCTACCGTCTCCGGAGGCAGCAGAATGCCAAATCCTGATAGGGAAACCTCCTGCTGTGGTGGCCATCAACTTCCTGGAGGGTTCAGGGAAACTATCAGAAAGCGGGTTTGTCATTGCCCGTCCAGCAGCAGCCCCGAGGGTTGGTGCCCCTTTCATTTGCGTCCCATGAGCACTCCCAGCCAGAGCTCTCAGATGCTTGTCCCCACCCCGGTTGTGAGAGTGGGTGGATTCGGTTCTGTTTAATAAAATAACACTTCCCTCCCACCCCCTGGCGGCCTCCCCCAGCAGGGGTGGCGGAAGAGGAAGAGGAAGGATCAAAGCTCTACCTCAGCCATGTATTATTTGGCACGGCCGCACCCTGGCAGTGGGCACAGGGCTGCACCACTCCAACTAAGACACCTTCGCAAGTTCTCCAGTGTCAGCATGGGCTGGAGGAGAGGAGCCCCCAGCCCAGCTTCCACAGGAGGTGGGTTTTCACAGAATCACAGGATGGTTGAGGTTGGAAGGAACCTCTGGAGGTCATCTGGTCCATCCCCCTGCTCCAGCAGGGCCACCTAGAGCAGGTTGCCCAGGACCATGCCTAGACAGTTCTTTAATATCTCCAAGGATGGAGATCACACAACCTCGCTGGGCAACCTCTGCCAGTTCTCTATCACCAGTTTAAAAAAAAAAAAAAAAAGCAGCGTTTCCTGAGGTTCACATGGAACCTCCTATGTTTCAGTTGGTGCCCATGGCCTCTGGGCACCACCAAGAAGATCCTGGCTCCATCCTCTCTGCACCCTTTCAGGTATTTATGTATATTAAGGAGATACCCCCTGAGCTTTTTCTTCTCTTGACTAAACCGTTCCAACTCTCTCAGTCTGTCCTCGTAGGCAAGGTGCTCCAGTCCCTCCATCATCCTTCACTGAACTCCCTCCAGAGTGTCCGTTTCTCTCTTGTCCTGGGGACCCCAGAATATGACACAGCCCTCCAGACACAGCCTCACCAGTGGTGAACAAGGACAAGAATCACCTCCCTCCACCTGCTGGCAACACATTGTCTAACACAGCTCAGGACACCATTTGCTTTCTTTGCAGCAAGGGCCCATTGCTGGTTCACGGTCAACTTGGTGTCCACAAGGACCTCCAGGCCACCTTGCCAGCTGGGTGTCCCCCAGCTCATACTGGTGCCTGGGGGTGTTCTTCGCCAGGGCTGTGTGCTTTTTGTTGAAGGAGAAGGGCTCCCAAACACCAATTTGTGCCCAAGCTGCCCCCTTAGGAGGAGGTTGGAGGTCACGCAGCAGCTTCTGGGCTCCTTCCAGCCCTGCTGCTACTAGAGTTGACCCAGAAATGGGGAGAGCAGGGTCCCCAGGGCTTATCCTGGCTCCTCCTGCTTGTGGGTTCAGGACATGATGCCAACCCCCCTTGATGATGAGGCTAGAGCCATCCCCACCCAGTCCTATCCCCAGGGCCAGCATCTCTCCTGGAGAAGACAAGAGTGGTGGCCCAGGTGGAGGGAGGGCCTGGTGCCAGTTCCCAAAGGGTGGGCATATCTTGGGCAGCTCTTTCCCACCCCTCCCAGTTATTTTTTGGGGGGAAAAAGAAGCAGCACAGGGAGTGCAGGGATCCTCAGTGCTTTATTGGTGACAGCTCAAGCCCAGGCAGCCATGCAGACAGGAAAACTCGTTCCTTGCTGGGGACAGCAGATCCCACACCAGTACCATGGCACCCTAGAGCTCACCCATAGGAGAGGAGCCCTGGGGTCTGGGCCATCGTGTCAGCATCTGGAGGAGGTTTCATCCCCATCGCTCCCTGCTCCTCTCCCACCTGCTGCTCTAGGTGGTCCAGGGCTGGGGTGCGATGACCACACTGACACTGCTCTCTGCCTCCCCTGCGGCCGCAGTGCTCCCACCTTCCTCTTCCTCCTCATGGTCTTTCAGCAGCTCTGAGAAGCTGGGACCTCGTTGGGGCAGAGACCCAGAGGCTTGGTCCTCCTCGGGGCTGCAGCCTGGGTCTGTGGGCAGATGGACAGGGGGAACAGTGAGGAGCTGGCTGAGTTCAACCTCCCTCCTCTGCTGGAGGAACACATCTGGCAGCTGTGGGCCAGGTCCCATGGGATCAGCTCTGGATCACACACAGATCCCAGCCCTGCAGAGCAGGATGCTCCTGTTCTAAGGGTGCATCAGAGATGGCCCCTTGAGGATGAGGATGAAGAGGACTTCAGGGCACTAATGCTGGCCTGGAGCAGAAAGACCACAGTGGGCACATACCTGGGTGTTTGGTGGCACCAGGGCAGGTTGGAGCAAAGGTGGGGGAAGCTGCCCAGGAGCAAGGGTTGGGGGGTGACAAAGCAGAGAGAAGTGGGTTGGTGGGGTGTGTTGGGGATGATGCTTCAGGGGCCATCACCTTCCTCATCCTGAGCCTCTGATGCTTTCCTCTCTGGGCTCTGGGACAGCAAGGTCAACCTGTTGAGGGCCAGCAGAGCTTTGCCTGTTTTCTGGAGAGAAGAGAAGGAGCACTGAGCCCCACCAGAGCCATCCCCATCCCCACGTCCTCATCTTTCCACCCAGTACCTGCCACTTCCGACGAGTCAGGAACTGCTTGATCCTCTCCTTTGACAGTGCTTTGGTGCTGCTGGGCTGGGGCTGCTGCAGCCAGGGGTGCAGCAGAGCCCCTGCGCTGGAGAGCCGGTGGCTGGGGGCAGACGGGGTGGTCATGGGGGGCGCTTCTCCACCATCAGACCCTCAGCTGCTGGCATGGCCCCATGGAGCATCCCCTCCACCAACCGTATTCAGTGCATTCCTCTGCCCGGCCCCTTGGCACCCCAAAGCCCAGCCCAGCACCCCACAGCCAGCCTCAGGTCCTACCGGGGGTCCTTCTGCAGCAGTTGGCTGATGAAGTCCTTGGCTTGCTGGGAGATCTCCGAGAAGGTCTCCTCCTCAAAGTCCCACTGAGCAGCTGTGATGTTGCTCAGCGTCTCCATGTCGTCATCCCCCTGGAAGGGGGACTCCCCACTCAGCCTGGAGAGGTGATGCAAGGACATCAGGGACAGCTCAGACCCTCCAGCCCTGACCTGCTGTGCCCAAGAGGCCACTCACAGGATGTAGCAGATGACACCAACGCTCCACATGTCAGTAGAGAAGCCCACAGGCTCAAAGGCAACCACTTCCGGAGCCATGAACTCAGGGGTGCCGTGCAACACCTTCACAGGGGCATCTGGAGCTGCAGGGAAGATGCATGGGGCAGGCGTCCAGCTGGGATCTCCCTGGGGCAGCCCAACTGCACGCCAACACAAGCCAGGTGGATGAGACCCTGCCTCCAGGTGGAGCTGCTGCCCTCCAGGACCCATTTGGCACCCACAGGCACAGGGGCCTTGAGGGTCTCCACCTTGCAGGCAGGGCTGGGGACATGCAGGTTTCCCCAGAGCATCTTAAGGCCCCTGATCTGGTGCCATAGGGCTGCCCATCCCAAAGACATGGGCAGGAGGATGCAAGCTCCTTGCTGACATGTCCAGCCAGATCATGTTCCCATGATGGTGACACTCCCTGCCCTGGTTCCCCAGGATTCCTCTCCTCGCTTACCCAGCTTCCGTGCCAAGCCAAAGTCAATGATCTTGAGCCAGTGGCTGCTGGGGCTGATGCAGACGATGTTCTCAGGTTTGAGGTCAAGGTGGACGACGGCCTGGCCATGCATGAACTGTAGCCCCTCCAGGATCTGCCGCATGTACTGGGTGCTGCTGGGCTCTGTGTGCTCGAAATCATCGTCCACGATGCGCTCAAAGAGCTCCCCGCCTGCCACACTGGGGGAGGACAAGGTGCTGGGGACCCTGCTGAGGTCTACCAGCCCTCAGGAGGAGAAGCCCCACCAGGGAACCCAGACTCAGCACTCTGGGAGGATCTCACCACCCGTATCTCCAGGATCTGCAGGTTCTCCATCCATCCAACACCCCATGCCAGCACCCGACAGTGCAGGGACCCTACCCTCTTCCTTGCAGGGTTCAGCACTGTCCCCACCACCCCAAATTTGACTCTGTCCCCGCACACACTCACTACTCCATCACCATCACCAGTTCAACGGGGCCCTGGAAGGCAGCAAGGCACTGCACGAGGCGTGGGTGATGCAGCAGGTTCATGAGCTCCACCTCAGCCTGAGCCGCCTGTTTCTCTTTAGCCGTCCGCGTCCGGAAATATTTCCCAGCCCGGATTTTGCCGGTGGCTTTTTCCTGCAGCTGGTACACCGTTCCAAATTTTCCCCTGGGACAGAGCAAGGATGAAAGATGGAGGAGCCATCGCCAGCACCCTGCATCCCCAAGCGGTGGGGATGTGGGACCCCCCACTTACTCTCCCAACTTCTCCAGCTGTGTGTACTGGTCTGAAACCTTCTCCTGGCTGTTGATGACCACATCACAGTATTCAAAGGTCTCTGCGCCTCCTGGGAGGGTTAGAGCAGGATGGTCCGTGCATGGATCCCTCACACTTTGGGGACCAGCTACCCGTACTTCCCCTCCAGTGCTTCTTTCTGTGCCCCCCCAGCTCCATCAAGGTCTGACCGCCCTCCCCACATGGAGCAGATGGGACCAGGGGGAACATGGGGACAGGGGTTGCTGCTACAGGAGCTCCTGGAGAAGCCCAGCACCCTACAAATCAGGGTTTGGGGCAAAAGGTGCTTTTAGAATCAAAAATCCAAGCAAAATGGGGCCATTAAACAGGATGGGATGGAGATTGGTGATGATGGGGGGGGTGTCACACCAGCACTGGGATCCCTGCACAAATCCTGCGCCTCCCCCGGGACAGATGGGGGGGCTTGGCCGTACCTTCTGCCTGGGACATGGTGGTGCCACCAGCTCCTCGCTGGGTGCCGGCGCAGTCAGGATGGGTGCTGGACACAGGTGCCGAGGCAGGCGATGCCTGCGTGTCCACTCTGGCTGCTCCCCAGAGCCCTGCACCTTCTCCCTGCCACAGGAGACCACCAGCATGTTTCCACCTCTACCCCACCTCTTCACCCTACCCAAGAGTTGACATCTTGATGGCCCCAAAGAGTCCCAGCAAGGGGCCAAACTCAGTTTTAAAGCAAGGGCCCCTCTCCTCAGGTGGGGACAACATCTTCCCAGTAGCAGCTCAGGCTCAAAGCCACCATTTTTCTCATGGCCCGTTTTGCATCAGCCAGGAAATCCCCAGGAAAAGCCACATTTCTAGGGCAAAGGCACATCCTTGTGCATATCCCCTCCCTGCTCCATCCACACAAAGGTTGGGAGGACAGGGCAATGACACCCAAGGGTGCTGGGCAGCAGCACCCAAACCCCAAGCCAAAGAACCACAGCACTGACCTGTCACTGTCCAGTCCTGTCCTGTCCCAGGGCACCAGCAGGTCCTGGATCCTTCCCGGTCACCACAGAGCCACCAGGGAGCTGGAGGGAGGGAGGAAGGGGCAATGCTGGGGTTTGAGGACCACTGGGACCACACATACAGGGATGTCTCAGGGCTGTCTCCGGGCATCCCGCTCCAGTGCTGGGAACAGCCCCGGCTCTCCCCTCCCTTTCCTTCCCAGTGGAACATTTCCGGACTTGGGGGAATAAACAACCATCAGCACCATCACTGAGCCCTCCCCAAACCAGATCCAGCACTGTGGGCCCAAACCACCCCCAACACCCCATTTAGCACTGTACAGAGTCACAGGGCTGCAATGCAGGGGTCTCAGCCAGAGAAATCTGGGGGGGGTGGTGAGGCGGGAGGAAGCAGGCTGTCTGTAAAGACCTGACACACCTCATGACATAGCACAAAGCACAACCCTCCCAGCATAGCTGAGCCTCTCTGCAGCTAAATCCTCTGGCAGCCCAGCCCCAGGCATGCCCCCACCTCCTTCCCCACCCATGGGTGGGCTCCTGCAGAGAGGGTGAGTACCCACACCTGCACCCCTATTCCCAGCTCCACCTGCAGCCAATATCCCAGCGGAGCCATCGCTCCCCCAAAACCTGTCCTGGGCTTTAGGCTTCCCTGGGTGAGCTCGGCTCCAGGTTCAGGGAAACCAAGGGGAAGAGGGTGTTGCAAAACCCCTCTGAGCCCTGAGGACTGAAGCAAAACCAGGGTTTTTCAGCCTTTCTCCCCCAAAAGCAGGACCATGTGGTCGCTCTGGCACCCGGGATGCTGCCGTGTCTCAGTTTCCCCTGCTTTAACATGGGCATAAGGCTGTGATTTCCTCCTAGAGCTGCCTCCAGAGCTGGGAATGGGGACAGCAGCACCGCAGGGGGACCTGTCCTCCCTGGGGACCCTCGTGTCACGGCATCCCCCCGAGCAGAGGGGATGGCACCCTGCTGTTACCTGCTCTCCAAAGCCGGGTCTCGTGGGCGATTTGGGGCTCTGCCAGCACCAGCAGACGCGTCGCCGCCGCCACTCCCGCGCTCAGCACAAAGTCCACAGCCGCCGGCAGGGTGTTGAGGACAAGCGTCCCCAGCACCAGGGCAGTGGCAGGGCCACCATGGCTTCGCTGCTTGCCTGCCCCTGTGACCTTGCCACTGGCAGGGCAGAGCCACGGGGTGGGGGTGCAAGGGCCGGGAGGGGTCCCCACCGGCACCTCGTGGGTGAGGGATGCAGTGGATGCTCCCGGCTCGGCGATGCCGTCAGTGCGCTCAGCTCGACCCTGCTGGGATATCGACTGCTGGGGACAGGGACACCAGGGACGGGAGTAGGACACGGTGATGGCCTGTCTGGGGACAGCAGCAGGGTGACAATGGAGTACGGCTGGCTGCATCCTGCCTGCCTGACAAGGGGTGACGGAGACCTGGCCCGGCTGATGTCTGGCACTGCTGGCAGCAGGTCCTGACCCCACTTGGCTCCGGACCCCTCTCTGGGGCAGGATGAGGCCGTGCGGGTTTTGCTGGGCTGCTCCCAGCACAGGGAGAGGCAGGATACGGCCCAGGCATGCGAGGCATCCCAACAGCCACTTGATGTCAG